TAAAACGGAAGACTGCTGAATTGTGTGAACAAGTCCTCAGCTCAGCCTCCTGCGACCTCGATGAAACTGTGCTAAGCTTTCGTCTGTACCATCGAGACAGACATCATCAGAGCAAGAATCCATATTTACGAAACAGAGTAAAAATATACAAAACAGAGAGACAAGGTGGCCGGCTTCAGCCCAAGTCGCTTTTTTATATACATCAGACATAGTGATCTTAATGAGACATCTCCTGATTTGGTTAGCTACTTCAACCTAACTCGACATGCTTGCAAATGAGTGGAGTTAACTTCCCGATCCGAAACAGCATTCGATGGCAGCTGTTTCATCACTCAAAAAGCGTATAATCGCCTAATGCTGTATCATGTTTGCGCTTGTGCTGTTGTCCATTGTGTGTATGTAATGCTCATGTCACGTATAGTATGATAGTCCTAGCTAGACACGAGGCTAATCCAGCCATTTTCTCTTGCCCATTGGCTCTTCCCTACACTCCCTCTTTCTCCCTCTCATTAAGTCTATCTAACAGTCGCAAAATGTTCCTACTTGGTTTTCTACGTTGTCTGTTTTGTTTATTTCTATAGACTCCCTAATCTTACGCTTTGACGTGAAGTCCCCGTAACCCGCAAAACGTGTTTGCATCAGTTTATTGGGTATCCTGTATTGGCCTTGTGTTCAGCGAGCTCAGATCCTTCGACCCACAGACATTTACAAGCGGTTTTGTGTTCGCATAGTCTATTATGAATGAAATGTATTTACCCAATTTCGTTTAAGGTGATGAAGGACTGGTAGAAGAATTTTCCCACAATGGTATGAGTAAAGCCTACGTTCCCATTGAATTTGACATAGCCTTGCTTTCCCAAAAGTTGTTCTCATCCAGGCTGGAGTGGACTGCAGTTTCGACCTTAAATCGGTCTTTTGGGAAAGCAAGGCTGTGTGAAATTCAATGAAAACGTCAGCTCTACTCATATCCTTGTGGAAAAATTATTCTACCAGTCCTTAATCACCTTAACGAAATTGGGTGAATACATCTCATATTACCGAGTCGAAACAATAATTGCCTGCAAAAAATATTATGAATGAGTCGGCAGGTCTCCTCAAAATAGACCCTATAGACTCATGGACTGTGTCAACATGAATATCAAACAAAAGCCGAGCGGCTGCAGTACAACGAGTTACATCCGTCCTCATCCGAAGAGATTGACCAACGAATCTCTTCTTCATGCACTTTAATTCGAAATTAAGGTCTCCCTAACAATGTTATCTCAGGAGATTCATCGAAACCAAGTTTCTCGTCGTATCTAAAAATAGATCACATGAGCCAAAACTTTGTTAGGAGGACCTTTATTTCGAATGAAAATGCATGAAGAAGAGATTCGTTGGTCGATATCATCAGATGAGGATGGATAAAACTCGTTGTACTGCAGTCGTTTAGCTTTTATGCAATATTCAAGTTGACGCAGTCCACGAGTCTTCCTCCCTCGTTTCGGGTGAAAACGTGCTTACCTTTTGTTCATCACATGATGGAAATATAAAAAGCGTTTGAAAAGTCTCTAAACAAAGGAAGTACTGGAGAAAGTATTAATTTCTCTTAATCGATTCCTTTTATAATCCACTTACGCAGTAGCTCACCCAACTTTTCCGCAAGCTGACAGCAGGCCAAAATCAGGAAACAAGTAAATGATCCAATTATATATTCCGCCCAATACAACAAGCTCCCCTCATCTTGTTAATGGCAATTGATATGTAATCGTCTACTAACGATAATGGGTAATTGTTTTGAAGCATTATATGCCTTAATCTACCGAACTCCTGGTCCCAGTGGTTTACATCTGCTAGACTCAGAATCTTTATTATCAAAGACTTCATAACTCCTATTTTTACTCTATATATATGGCTCCAGAATAAATTAATAAGGAAACCCTCGTGATTGAGTTTCAGTGTTCTGATCTAGAGTTTATTATAGCGCCTTAATTGCCTAATTTATCGGAATGTTAGCGTACATAGACACCACTTCCAAACCTACCAGCAAATCTACTGTTTTCTCGTTTGATCATTAATTAAATAAATATAAATATGAAGACTAAGATGTTGTGGCATCTGGTATGGTCGCAGAATGGCAAAACTCACTTATGATGCCGACTACGATGCCGGTGAAACATTTTGAGAATGTACCAAGTCCATTGTCTGATGCTGGGACTCATAACAACTACTATGACAGACAACTTCGGACTAGGTGCATTCTACTAAGTCGCCTTGACAAGAAGACCAAGTTGCGACAACTAGGTCAACCCACTTCTATAAATAAATAAAGTTTTAGCAGTTATTTACTGAAACCTTCCATGTTTCGGAAATTTGCTTTACGTGAGTTCACATAAATCGTAATGTTTTATGCATCACGATACCTGTGTTAGTTACAATACTCTTAAGTCAACTACCTTGCTTATAAATTTTCCTTTGAATTGGAGGAATTCTTTGAAATCGAACTTTTCTTCATATCATCATCTTCTAATTTATGGTGTGAATAAATTTCAAATATTAACTGGTTTTCTTTAAAACCTACTTCTAAATCAATGAAATAAGACCATTTTCCAATCAATATTTTCTCTATCTTGTATATCATTAATGCCCTTTTGTCCAGGTCGAATCGTAGCCAAATATGTATATCGCAAGTTAATTTGAGTAGGATAAACACGAACCTTCTTACGGCATACTACTCATAAAAATTAGTTTCATATAATTATATTAATCTGATTTCCGTTTCCTG